GGCCACCAACACCACGGTTTGACCTAGTGAGATCAACTTCCAGGAACTGAGTTTATACATTAGTGGTGTTTCATGTTTTGTTTTGTTTTTTGAGACAAGATCTCAGGCTGGCCTTGAACTCACTACGTAGCCGTGGCTGGCCTCAAACTCTTGGTGATCCTCTGGCGTCGGCCTCCACACTGAAACTCACCAAAACAGGTGTGGTACCTGCCTGTAGTCCCAGGTCTTCCAGAGGCTGAGGCAGGAGGATCACAAGTTAGAGGACAGCCTAGGCCATTCAGCAACACCTTGTCTATAAATGAAAAAAATTTAAGAGTAGGAGGCTGCAGCCTGGGAAGGGGGTATAGTTCAGGGCTCCCTGGGTTCAATTGTCAGTACTGCAAAATCAAAAAACAAAGCCAATAAAACAAAACAAAACAAAAAATAGGAAGTAAAATGCCTCACAAAGCTAATGACTTTGACTAAAACAGTCACTCTCTCCCTTTTTGCTGAAAATCAGACTATTTGATTCCACTGCAAGAGAATCCCCTCCTTGCAAAACAGACTATAAGATAAAGCAGTAGCATTCACCTCCCAGAGCTCGGGTGTGTGTGTACCACCTGATTCTTAGAAAAGCACAGCTCAAAAGGAAGAAGGGCTGCTGAGTGGGCATAGGAGGGACAGACCTGCATGGCCGCGTCACACCCTCGGGGAGGAATTATGGGCACAAGCTGCTGCGTGGACATTTGGTGTCAAGGAAAGTACACAGCCACAGGTTGTATAAACACAGGAAGTTTATGAACAAAAGGCCCCTCACCCGAACTCAAGGACAGCTGGCCTGGGGGACGAGGGAAGACGACTGACACAGGGGCGACAGCAGTTTCAAAACACATTCCCCGGCACACCTGCTCTCAGCACGTAAATTCACCCTAAAATCGGACACCACGGGGCAGAGTTCCTGCATTAACTGGGGGTCTGGAGGGTGTAGAGCCCCTCCCCTCCTACCAAGTGAGCCACCGCCTCCCTCAGCAGGGCATCCACCCCGCGGCTCTCTCCCGCCCTTCGGGAAGCCACAGGGAGAGCGGCCTGGGCGAACTGCCGCCACCTGGTGTCCTCTCCCTGCCTGGCAGGGCCGCAGCTCCCAGGCCGGGGCCACGGGTCAGAAGGTGAAGGGAGAGACTGCAGCAGGGGCAGCGGAAATTCGGGCTGCGTAGCCACACACCTGTGCTCGGCAGACACGGGGCACCTAATGCGCCGGCCGTGGGCAGAGCTGCAGGCCGGCACGCAGATGAAATGTCACACTCCTCAGTCCCGAGCCGGGTCGGTCACA